TTGGAGTACCATACTTTAATACTCTTTTTGGGGACCTGTTCCTTAAAGGAGCCATTATGAAATAAAAATCTATACTTTTTTCCTCCCTGGTTACTTCAAAGCCCAGTAAAGGATTTGGGGATTTAGGGGCTGGAGGGTTGTTCATGGGATTTCTGTTAAAGGAAACTACAGGTGGGGAGTTTAAGGCTTCTATAAGGTATATAGACCTTTTTATAAGGCTCCTATAACGGTAACAACCCACCTGAACATGTCCTAGATTCTGGGATTTAGGGTTCAGAAGCTTCCCGGTTTAGGGTTTGGGGTTTAGGGTCCCAGACCCCCGGGAGGATCCAAAAAGTAGATCCCTCAAGGGGGATTCCTATAAAGAGCCTTGAGTAGTATAGGGTCCCAAACTAGGGGTTCTACTTTCTAGATCCTTCCGGGGGTCTGGGGTTAGGGACAATGAAAGTCGAAAGGAGTTAACCCCTGCAGCATGTAAGCGCCGTGGTTCTCCAATACCATTTGTTCAATTTCTGGAATCTCGCAAGGTAAGTCAGACTAAGCCAGGTTTTCTGAAAGTTCAAGTGGCTTTGGCGCTATGGGGTGAGGACACTCTTGGTTTTGTTGTCGACTTATTTCGACAAGGGACATAACAATACGATCACTAGGACTGCGGATGTTTAGCTGTCGGGCTCGGAGTTTTCTGTGTATAGGTCTCAGGGCTTTAGATTAAGAAGAATCGCATGAACGTGCTCTTAGCAGCACTTGCCTGGAACTTGAATCCTGAACAGGGCTGTGCTGTAATTACTTCTCGCTGTCAAAAGACTCTTGCCCAATGCATAGATGATGCATTCAATGTTGAATCGCCAGGCCCCGTTTCATTGTCACAGTACGCTGTCCCAGACCATTCTGCTGGCGGCCTGGCGGGTGGGCGGAAAAATCCCGGACATTGCGATTACAAGAGAGTGGTGCGGCTTGCTCAAATCTGTGATTCTGTGTGTGAATATATGTGTGTACTGAATGCGTATTCTTACGGCAAAAGCTGTGCGCATGTGCGAGTCAGACTTTGGGAAATGTAATGCTTGATGCCGCTCACGGTCGCAAACACTGTATGTAGCCGGACCTTTTTGCAACCAGATGTAAAGGTTTGTAGTGTTTTGGTCGGGCGATTGTGAAGTGCTACGTCTCGGGCTTGTGCTGGCTTGTTTCAAGGTGTTCGGCGTGTGAGGGAGAGGCGTCCTGAGGATTTTATGAGAGGCAACTTGCTGTAGCTACATGAAAGTCAACTTGGGGTTTTGTACTCGTAAAATTTGCCCCCTGCTTGAGCTACGACTGTCCTTGAGTTACAGGCTCAAACTCACCAGTGGGCAGCCGTTTCCTGAAGTTGTTGTTGTGGACACGCCGTTTCCTGCGTCCCTGCCTTCGCCAAAGCCGGTGTTTCGAAGATGTTATCCACAATAAATGCTGCCTGTCAGCCAACATCATGAGAATTCAGGGTTCGGGGCCGGTGATGCGGGTCATCCACACTTGAGAGTTTGTGCGACCGTAAGCTTTGGAAATTGTTTGTTTTATGTGCACACTGTCGGTCCCAAATGCGATGCACAACATCCCTCCCGAACTTTTTGAGCATGTCAAGCCTAATCCGTAGAGTAATTTGCCACAAAGATTGCATGTAAACCCAAAATGCCCGGCTCTGCGTAGAAAGAAACAAGCACACACTCCACGAACCTGCTTTGCGCTTGGTGTTTCACTACCCTTGGGCGTTGAGTCGACAATTAACACGTATAACGTTGGCAGAGGGAAAGAATACATGCGTTAGACTCTACAAGTGTGAGATAGCGAAAACAGAGACAAACGAAAGAACAACACCTTGCGACAGCCACACGCAGGCCTTGACCCAATCGAGCAGGAGTCAAGAGATGTGGCAGGGTGCTCGGTTTTCCTGTTGGGGTCCAAGCAAGCGGACGTATTCTACTACTTTAGCAGTAAAGTATAGATACAAGTTACGAGCAGAGCTGTGAAGGTACTGATTGTTTCTTACTAAGATCAACAATTGCACGAACGGCAGCAACAATGCAGCAGCAGGAGGGGAGGAGGAGGAGCAGGAGGAGTGGCAGCATCCGCAGCAGCAGCAGCAGCAGCAGCAGCAGTGGCAGCAGCAATAGCAGCAGCAGCAGCAGTACCAGCAGCAGTAGCAGCAGCAGCAGTACCAGCAGAAGTAGCAGTAGCAGTAGCAGTACGAG